TGGGGATTTGTCGGCGGTAACTCAGCGTTGAAGCTCTTAGTGGAGAAGGAGTGCTGCGATGAATAAGACACGAGGTCGGGAGCACCGTTTCATTAGAGCCCCGAATTGATAGTTTTTGTGTTAATTGAAAAACAATGTTTACAGGCACAAACATATCACATGTCTGGCTGTCTGAAGTAGGTCACGGTGAATATTTAGAGAGCCTCTCGTCTGTTGGGAGGCGGTTTAGTGGCACATTAAAAAAAAAAACTTTTGCGAAGCTCTGACTCAAAGCGTGGCTCCAATTCTCAGCACGACTGCACTGTCGCTACTTCAAACAAGTCATGCTGGAGCAGAGGAATGCCTACCTGCTTTTAACGGACCTCTGTTTGGCATTCAGACCTCATCCCTCAGCCTGATCCACGGTTCTAGTCTCTCAAGATGAGAACATTCATTTTTTTTCCCCTCTTATAAAACCCATTAAGATATCGACTGTCTTGTAAGCTCCAGATAAGACACTAGATTGGCGTGTGCGCTTCTGGCCATTATCAGTGTCAGAAAGAAGAAGTGACGGATCCTCTGAAAAATTAGGGTTGGGTACAGTCCTGCATATTAACCACAACTTTCAGGATTCTGTGATGGTGCCCATGGTTAAGAAACCCTTAATGGTAATCCAGGAAATGGTCTTATCAAGGAAGAGATTCTCCTGCTGCAGCCATGTGGTGGATAAGTATCCAAAAAATCTTCTAGACAAAACCCCCTGAAATTCAAAAAGGAGATTATGGTGTTCGATATTAATTTGAAAGGATCCATCCGCAAGACACCGCTGTTTAATTGTGGCAGGGCGACACTGATTGCAAACTTTTCCACATGACGCTTATGCATGGTGACATCATTTCCATGCACCAGTAGCTGGGATGAATGCCAGTTTGTGTGATTTAATTTCTCCCTAAATGACAAGGCTCCTTTTTATGGCATCCACCGAGCGCTGAATGAACTGAATGTGCAGAGAGGGAGGAGAGAAAGGATTAAAGGGGAACTAAATAAGAAAGTTTGAATCATACAAGAGCACACACAAAAAGAAGCCTGGATGAAATGCAGGGTTCAAATATCAGGGCTGAGTAAACTTCTGAAGAACACAAAAGGCAGATATAGAATGAAAGGAGGGAGGAGTAATTAAAAACACCTTACAGTAAACGAGCCGCCGGGAGGGAGGCGCTTGTCACGGCGCAGCGGTGGCGGCGAACACAGCTGCACGAGGCCCGGGGAGCCCCCCTCCTCCCCCCCCACAATTAGAGAACACGACAGAAGCAGGTTCAAAGCCTGCCCCATGTCGGCGTCTCTGTCCTGAGGGGGGACAGCGTTGGAGGAATGAGGACGAATAGAGGGACACACACACACACACACACACACACACACACACACACACACACACACACACACACACACACACACAACTGTGTGATCTTGAGAGTTTGGCCAGGATACACCTCCCTGAGCCCGACAGAACCTTTGAAGGCTGCCATCGCTCCCCGGGAGCCGGCTGAGGAAACTGGGTCTCTGCTGCAGGCGCCCACAGAGTATAGACCTTTTGCTTTCGAAAACCTGGTCATTTTATTCTAGCTTTATATACACACAGAAAATATACCCGAGGGGATACTGCAGGGACGGCTTATTAAAAGTTTGTGCTGCAGCAGACTTTAACTACATATAAATAAGGAAATAAACATTTAGAAATGTAAAAAACCACGCTCGGGTGAGAAATGTGGCACGTCACGCTCAGCACTCGGGAAGTGAAATTAGATTCAGCAGCTGTATTTAGGATAACGCTTCTACATTTTGTAACAGCACCAGCTCGGCTTATTGTGCTCGGCTTATTGAGAGACACTTTCTCATGCCGGCGCTTAAAAAATACAAATCTATGCAGCTTCTGGTCTGGGTCAGAAATATACAGGGCCTTCTCGGTGGCTTCCAGCGTGCATAATCAATTGTGGTTAACAAATTGGCCGTGACGTTTTGCCCTGCCGGGGTGGGTGTAACCGTTTTCATGGGTCCACCCAGTCTTTAAAAAGGACCTTTTCCACAGTCTGGGAGGCCTCCTTTAAGAGCCGAGGTGAGTGGGGCACAGACATGGCCACTGTGAAATTAACACTTAATAATGCTCCACATAGCACCATCCCATAGTAATGTACCACAAACTGAGTTGGCCCTCGGTAACCCCGCTCAGTGAATGGGACCTGTTTGGGGGTTTCGATAACATTAGCACTGGAACTAACGATTATATTCACCATTTCCCCTCATCAATAATTAATTTGGTCTATAAAATTATAGAAAGTGTAAGCATGCCTGAAACTAAAGTTTACTTTCACCAGATAAAGCACTTTTAAAATGTATTAAATAAAGCTCCTCAGATGCATGGGCGTCTAATTATCTGAGTCAATACCACAAACAAATAGCAAAGATTTTTAATTACTTTTGAAATAGGAAAAAGTTTGACAAAGCCAACGTTTTTTTCCAACTTTTAACACATGTCAGTCCAGCATACATCAAAGAGTGGTAATAAGTAATCAAACAGTAATATGCTCATTATGTACAGGGGGGAGTTGTTGTGCATCAGTGGTGATGTGTCAGTCGTACTATAGCAGTTGTTCATTTTTATTTCCACATTTTCACCTCTCGCAGTTTGATGTAGTCTGTTGTCAGTTTGCAGTTTATTGGAGCAGCAGGTGGACTTGGAGTTAGACAATTCAACAATGTGCTCCATCATTTTGCCACACCAGCTGCTCCCTCCGACAATCACGGTCTCTTCCACTGCCACTCAATGTCCCTCTTCCTCTCCAAAAACACATTTCCTTTAAGGGTTTTTTCAAAACAAACATAAAAATCGTTTATTTTTCTCCTTTGATCTAATCTTCTTTCACGCCAACAAATCTGAAGTGTAATACATTGGTCAAAATCCGTCTTTGATAGATTTGCAGCCCAGTGGGAAAATACTTTGGCCTTAAACTGTGTCATATGATGTCTCCTCCACCTCATCCCTCCATCTTCCCATCCCCTGGTTCGCAGCTTGCTAACAAACACCAGCTGCTTTTTTTTTTTAAACAAGCGAAAGGCCATAAGAAAGATGTGAGAAGTGTTTTGCCAGAACAATTACGTAGCATGTCACCTCATTGGGGATGACAAAACGGAGCAAAATGCTCCGGTGCAAGCTGTGACCTTTGAGGGGAGGAGCTGAGAAGAGAGGCCGGGGATTTGTGAGCGAAGAACAGGGAGCTAATTTCACTTCATAATCGCAACCAGGCGGCTTGAATAGGCAGAAAAGAGGGGTGCAGCGGGGTCAAGTGTCACCCGGCGTCCTGCCAAGTAGCAGAAGAGGTTCAGGAACACACAGACACATGCATGCCTGCACACACACACTTGGCCCAGCCTCCCGCTGACAATGCAGCCCCACCCTCCACCCTTCCCTGCCTTTTGTGCCTTTTACAACAATGATTAACTGAGTTTAGCGATTCAGAGAGTGTCCACAGCAGCACAATGCACTCTCTCTTACAAAACATAATGAAGTCAGCCCTGAGTCAAACAGTCTCTTTTTCTTCCCGAACTTTCCACCTCCCCCTGCTAACAGCCCCCTGGCTTTTATTTTCCTTTATCCCCTCTTTCTCTGCCTTTTCACCATAAATCCGCCTATTCCATCCCCACCCTCCCCCCCGCCCCCCCGAGCTCGTTAACGCTGGAAAGGCAGGCAGATGCGTCCGTCCTCCTAGTACATGAAAACAAGCTGGAAATAGGCAGCGTAGGTGCCATGTGCACTGCATATGAAAAGGTATTGATTAGCTTCAATCGATGCGTAACCTTTCCTGAACTAAATGTATGGAATATAAGTCCCGTACGTCTTAAAGACTCCTATGATGTTTGTATTAAAAAGATAAATCTGACATTCAGGCAATGCCATAGGGGCTTTCAGAAACCTGAGATGGAGAGACAAAAAAACACACACAGTACACTTGTAATGAGAGGTGTGCAGTGCTGAAGGGAACTTGTAGAACATGGTGTGAGTAAAGCTGCGCAGGGGTGTTAACAGAAACACTACAATCTGAGAACATCACACCCCCAGGCCTTTTACAGGAGGTGTGAAGGAGCTCGCAAACTCATGACAGGAAGAGAAGGAAGGAAGGCATAGACTGTGGTTTCACTTCTTCTTTTTGTTTCTCAATGTGAAATGCCTGATTGTCCCAAGCTGGAGGGGAAAGAGGGGCTGACGCTGGGGGTTGCAAAGTGTGCAATGATTTTCCTGCAGTCTCCAAAAAGTGCTTTTAGTTATTTTTCTATTTCAAAGTTTGTCTAACGTTTCTGGAAATGTAGCAACAGGAAATGGTATGCACGTTCATTGCAACTAACTTTTGGTAAATATTCGTACTCTGGGCGAGTTAATATTTAACACTGTCTATGTGTTTACCGTTGCGCTAACTTCTTAACCGTGTGGAAACGACTTCCCTTGCTGTTTCCGAAGTTCAAAAACACTTAATTAACCCACAGTATTTCATTTAGTTGAGCTGTTTTGCATTTAGGGTTCAAGATACCCAACTATTGTTTCAATGGTAAAAGTTTGAGCCTGTAAAACCTAAAATTACACCCAAAGCCTCACTGGAAACTTTACTGTTGCATAATACACCCTTGACATCACCAGTTCTCCTTAGAATTGATTTACTACCTCATGCGAGAAGGCTTGTTATAGCGAGTGGCAGCATGACATCGATGTTTTGTTGGGTACGTGTTATCCCCACTTCTTCATCTCTCATATTATCTCCTTGCATCACATTCAGCTGTGATAAGGCTCATTGTAACTCAACAAAAACTCAGTGCTAATCTGGAAGCAGGAGAAAGGACAATGAAAATGTGTCATCCGCAGGTATCCAACAGTGCAACACAGACTGGGGCTCAGTTTACGACAAAAGAATGACGTTGTGCAAAAGGAAATAAATCCGAGACTGATCTGTTCTTGTCTTTTCTCTTCCAGGAAAGCAACAGTAGCCGGAAAGACCCAGCAGGCAACTGCACTCGTGAAGAAAAAGGAAAAGGTTTTTTGAAATACTACTCTGCGCCTAACAATGGGAGAGCGATTTCATCTTCCAGAAGTTGCCAGCACCTTGCTCCCTGTGGCCCTCTGCATTTTGACCCTTCTGCCCCACAGCATTCTGGGTAGACCTGCAGAGGAGGAAAACGCAGGCAGCTCAGCACTGCTGCAGAGGGTGAAGAGAGGCTGGGTGTGGAACCAGTTTTTTGTGCTGGAGGAGTACACCGGACTGGAACCACTTTATATTGGAAAGGTCAGTGTTGCCTACATCCTGAACTGTAAGAACATGCGCCATAAATACACACATAAAAGGTGACCCGGCGCACCAGATGGTTTGTAACACAGAACAATAAGAGAAGCAGTCATTAAGAACTGTTTGTAAAGGGCAGGCACTTTAAAAAATGACTTGGCAGGTGGTTGAATAACCCATCCGACAATCAAACTCTGGCCGAAGGGGGAAGGTATTTCCTTGGAGAAAAGCCCTCAGTGCCATGCTTTGCCCTGCTCAAATGAAGAGACACTTGTTCTAATATACTTTTGCAGTTTATGCTAACATCTTTGGGGGCCGCCATTGTTTTTGACAAGCAGTCACCTCTTCTGTTCATGTTACACTACAGTAAGCACGCCCAAAGATTCCAGTAACTCCTTACAAAACGCTAAAATGTCCGAATACAAACCAGTAACTTGACCTGACTAGATGGTTTATCATTCATCTCAAAGTCCATCTGCAGTGCAAGGTAAACTTAAAAGGTATAACCTGGAGAAATGTAAAGCGTAGAGGTTTTTTCGCTTGGTAGAGGAGAATCTTTTCTGTCCACTTGGTGTACAGGGTGCTTTGGTGTAGGTGTTTCAAAGAGATTCAACCAGTACGTTTCAAACAGGGCAAACTAACAGATCTATAGGAGAGCTCAGCAGCCTGGAGGTCATCTGCTGCTCGGTGGAGTGCATGAATGCAAAACAGAACATCATGGGTAGGCAGAGGCGAAAAAAAAAATCTCAATTTAATCCCTGGCTGCACTGCGTCCATACGAAGACAGCCTCTCCTCTGTCCACTTTGAACCACAGCCAAACAGCAGTGATTGAGTTAATTGAGTCGAACCGAGGCTTCACTCAGTTCCCCCCCCTCCCCCCCTTCCTCGCCTGCAATCCACTGACATGCTCTGAAAGGAGCAGACAAGAAATACTCACAAAGGAGCACTTTGATCACTCAGTTGCTAAAGTGAACTGAACATTTGATCAATAGTTGTAAGGTTGGTCATCATCAGTAGTGAGACAACAATCTTACAACACAAGTTGCCATGAAATCACAAAAAATTCCAGTGTAACCCCTTCGAAAAAGTCTCTGTTCACTTGTATGGTGTCAGAGCATTGCTTTTAACATCTCTCAGTGCTTATATATGGAGGCGTTAGTAGTTTTCTATTCCTAAATTCTTGAAAATACCTTGCCCTGATCTTCCAATTGTTTGAATTAGTTCTGTGTTCCTCATCGACATTTAAAACCCTGCACCACACATCTTCAAAAAGTTTCCCTTTGGAAATGAAGCAACCCTCCCTAATTAGTGTTCTGGAATAACTTCCTTTCCACCGCTCGGGAATACCGCCTAAAAACATGGATTCCAAAAAGTCAAGTGCTCCAACCAGATAGCAGAATAACAAGTCCCGAGAGATTTCTGCACGCACTGTAGCATAAAGGACTGTATCTGCTTACAGTCTCCGTAGCATAATCATTTTCACCTTACCTCTTCTTCTTTCCCCATTTACAGTTTCTTCACCATTTCTCTTTAAAGCCGCCCACCCTAATTTTTCCAAACGGAATGAAATAAGTGACACTGACAGGCCGGGCTGTTTCCCAGAGAGCCACTCGGGGCAGAAAGGCATTATAGAATATGACAAAGCAGGAGAAACATGTGCCGGAGAGGTTTTTTCTCAGCCTACCTTACCACTCCACTGTTGAGGAGCTTAGTATTCAGAGCTGTGGGGATGTCGGAGGTTTGGGCTTTGGGCCGGAGCAGGTAATTGATAGCCTGAGTGTCAAACTCTTTTCATAGGTTTGGAGTAAAGAGGAAGGATCAGTGCAGAGAAGGCAGATGAGGCGGAGGAAAGGCAGCGGCCCGAGATAAATCACCCCGAGACACGGGGCTGAAACTTACAATGGGGTGTTGATTAAAAAATGTATCCTGGGCCGAGCTAGGATGCGCCGCATTTTGAAGGAGTGAGCGCAGGTGGGCACGTTGTCCGAAGAGATAGGGGGAATTGTATAGTCTGGCTGCTCGGGGAATGATAGGTATTGTGAAGATTGCTGAGGCTCTCACCACAATGACAACAATGAGTGGTGTGTAGCTGCAAACTTGTTGCAGTCTCACAACACTTGTGTTTCCACTCAACTCCACTTGTTATTTTTTGGTTTTCTATCGGGAAAAGTTGCAGAAAAGCAAGTTTTGAAAAGTCTGTTGATTTGAGCAGACCTGTACTATGCATTAGGGGCCAAAACGAGGGCCAGATCTTTAAAAAAAAAAAAAATAGTATTTTAAGAGTCAGTGGGGGGTTTATGTTGTTTGCGTTGCCTGTTGATTGTAAAGCAGACAGACGTCAATGGGGTTATTTAATCTGCGAGCGTGGTGGCTGTGAGTACTCATCATGCAGGCACACTTTAAGTAGAAAGTAAGGAGTGATTGCACATCAACAGGCAGCCATTTGCACTTACAGGCCACAAAAGGCTGCTGATTGCCCTGCAGGGCCCATGGCAACAAGCAGGCTGTAAACTGTGATTACATTAAAGCTAAGGTACCCATATAACCACATACTACCATTGGGGGTCTGAAGCTAATTTACCCACTGGTTAAATTAGGAATGATGGTTAAGTAATGTACTTCTACGCATCAAGACTGAATAGAAAACAAATTGTAAACATGAATTGATATGGAATTGATCCTTATTAAATGCATATGGGCTGCTAGAAAGTATAAGCACCATGATACACTCTGTTTTGTTCTTTGTTTTGTCTCTCTACTAATAATGAATTGTTGGTAATTGAAAGTTTAAAACGGTGACTCAGTCTTCATATTCCCATTGTATCATATCCCCATTGTATTATATACATATTTATACATACTCCCCCAACGGCAGTACATTTTCCAGTTACAGTAATTGATCGATTTAGTCTGTAGAGTATCAGAAAATAGTTTTTTTTTTCAAATGCACATCCTAAATTGCCAGAGCCCAAAATTATTTCCTTGAATGTCTTTTCTTTGTCTCACTTATCCCCGAATCCCTAAAATACAATATTTACAATCCTAAGATCAGAAAAGTAGCATTCTCACATTGAGGCCTGTATCGCAACCAAACACATGTTCAGTTGGATCTGGATCATATGACTTTGACAGACAAGAACTTTCCACTAGTTGTCTTTTATGTTTCGGATCACTGTGTTGCTGCATTGTTCTATAATTAGGGGACGCGTCCTAATTAAATGTCCTCAAACTCATTTTGTAATACTTTCGTACTGCGCCATATGTATTCATTTGTGTCAACTTGTGGTGACACATATACTTTGTAGATATAGTGATGATATTCAAGACTAATAACCCTGTCCCTTAGAATATGCCTCGTGGAGTAAAACATTTTTGTCCCACTCTCAGCTCCACTCAGATATGGATAAAGGCGACGGCTCCATTAAGTACATCCTATCGGGCGAGGGCGCGGGCACCACCTTCACCATCGACGACAGCACGGGGGACATCCACGCGCTCCAGAGGCTGGACCGGGAGGTGAAGTCCCAGTACCTCCTCCGCGCCCAGGCTCGCAACCGCCTGACGGACAGACCTCTGGAGCCCGAGTCCCAGTTCATCGTGAAGATCCAGGACATCAACGACAACGAGCCCAGGTTTCTGGACGGGCCCTACCAGGCGACTGTGCCCGAGATGTCCAATATAGGTAAGCAGCGGGGAGGCAGATGGATGGAGACGGAAACAAAACTGCTGCCCATGCACGCCTGCTTTTAGTTTTTAAAAGGAGTAACTGCAGCGAGGAACTAAACAACGCTGCCTCTCCATCTGCTTCATTCACTATTCATACACTTTTTGTGGTTACTTTGAGGCATTGTTAATTCATGGAGAGCTCCAGCCACACATGGAAAACTCCCATAATGATTTATCTTGATGTAAATGTTGATATTGGTGTAACCTCATTTTGTTCGCCCAGGAACATCTGTGATCCAGCTGACTGCTACGGACGCCGACGACCCCACGTACGGCAACAGCGCTCGGGTGGTCTACAGCATCGTGGAGGGCCAGCCCTACTTCTCTGTGGACGCTAAAACCGGTACGACTTTCCACACGCTGCCTCCCGTAACCATAGCAACCAGCGTTTTTGATCTATTACATGTAGAGGCTGATGGATTTCAAACTTCACCAGACACTTTCACTATTTCATGAGCTCCTCGTGAATTTTCAATGAGCATGAATGATGTTAGATGACCTGATAAAGTTGACAAACTACCACCGACATTCAGGATTTACTCCTACTGATAGCGTCTGATGATTCCCCAACTTGTTCCAGTAATTGCACAGGCGGCTGCTTTTAGCGGTCCACACTTGAAGCCCCTCAACCGAGCGGCTCTGAATGATGGCAGCTCACAGCGTGGCTCCTTTCGTTGCTACGAGACCACCCAACACTTGTCTGAAACAGGCTTTGTTGCAACTTGTAATAACTCATATTACCAGCACTCAACAGCAAGAGATGTGCTGAACTCAAAGTGTGACTGTCTGATAGAAGTGAAGACAAAATGAGACTGGAAGCCACTCCACCCCAAGATGCTCACACGTTTAATCCCTTCAAAATAGAACCACTCGACCATGACGATGACTTTGCATGTCCGTTCACTACAAACCAAATAAACTTTGTAATGCTGCAAATCATTTAGCAAACAGTGCCATGTTGAGTTATATCACATCAACAGCAAGGTGGCAATAAAAAATAAAGTATCTCTACGCAACACATGGTAATAATGTTAATAACTCAAACTAACACTTCCATAAATCCGTTATATTCTCAAAAGCAGGGGCCATTTTTTACCACAGCTGCCTTATTTCCTTGTCAGTATGGGGTTGTGTTGCCGTCAGCAGACCGCTGCTGCTGGAGGTTCATCCATCACTGAAACACAAGTGGCTCTACAGCTATCAATCAGCCCGCCTGAGGCTGCTGTAAGCACAGCACTGAGGCTTTTATCGGAGCCAACACAATGTAAAACTCAACAAATACAGCACAAACCCACACTGCCATCCTTCAGTGGTTGGTTTCAGTTCAGAGTCACATATTTTATGTAAAACCATGTTGACATGATTATATATAATGGAGGTTTTTACCTGCAGAAATGTTGCTATATTATACTGTAGGTAATTTCAATGATTGTATCCCTAAAAAAAATGAAAGAAGTTTAATAGAGTAAGATAGTAGCCATAATAACCTCCAATGATACAATATATATATACATCAAAATTGTAAACAAAATAGGCTAAAAGTGTGATAAAATGCATGACATTCAGAAAATCGGGACTAGGATTGAGATCTGAACATATATAACAGATATGACATTCCACATAATAATCGTCAAGAGTAATCAATACGTATATTTGACCACTCAAGTCTACATTTATGACTTATCGTAGGAACAGATTCACAATCCCATTTTTTTTAAAACGTGTTGTTTCTGTATTGCAGCCCAGTCGTTAAGTGTTAAAACCATTTGTCTGGAACAGCTTAAAACCAGAAACCCTATTATATTATTATAATAATTACTTAAAAATCAGACAAGTTTCATTATAAATCCCTCATGTAGCCTCTTGTCCGCTCCACTGAGAGCGCTGACATTCCAGGACACCATCGCTCGGACACATGACCCTAATCTGAGTCACCAGCTCTCTGCGGGTGACCTTTCCTTCACCTCATGTGTCTCTGCTTGTCCTTTTCTTAACCCTCTCTTTCCCCTCAGGCGTGGTCCGTGTGTCCCTGGCAGACATGGACAGGGAGACCAGGGAGAACTACACCGTGGTCATCCAGGCCAAAGACATGGGGGGCCAGCTGGGGGGGCTCGCCGGCACCACCACGGTCAACGTTATGCTCGGCGACATCAACGACAACCCGCCCATGTTTGACCAGAGTAAGAGAAGTTCTGTCTCATCACTCTCACCTCGGCCCCTGGTTCACTCCCCGCTTTACGTGAACCCACATCACCCCCACGCTAATCCCTCCTGATACTCTTACAGCTGAAATGTAAAAGTTTCTCACAGCAGAGGAGAAACAGTGCAGCCAGGGATATGTATATAATTTAATATTATGCAGCTCAAGTTAGCAGCTTTTTGTATATGTAAGGAATCCTTTAATTAGCCTTTTGCACAAAGTCTATGAGAAAGAAAATGGCACTTTTTATAGATATGAGTAGGGCATTTTGAACATACAGGGTTTGTTTTCAATGCAGCTTGGTTAAAATGATCACGAGTATGCCCTTCAAATGTCAAATGTGTGAGTGTACAGAGAGTCCTGTGTTGTTTACTATACAGTACCAAGAGCATACTTCATTAACATGAGTCTGAATTTCACCACAAACCAAAACAATTAATCACATGACCCTGGAGTTGGCTTTAATTTCCAAAACACCACGCCGTTTTGTCTCAGGGCTAAACTCGATTTGTGGTTTGACTTGTCAGCGTGTTTCAGCTACATGTAGGGCAGCAGCGGGGCACACATCCAAGCAAGAAAAACACGAGACTGCAGTTTGTCTAATCCATGCCTAAATCCAAAGAAACAAACAGGGTTCTGTGAAGATGACAATTGGCTCACATACAGTATATATCCACCATTTATCTCAAGCCGTTAGCCCCTCTGCCCTTCTCCCTCGGTCCACTTTTGGCCACCAGTCCCTGACCATTTACCCCCTGGCCTACCTCCCCCACTCCCTCGCTCAGCCACCAGTCGCCCCATGCTGTCTCTTTGATTATCCCAATTTCTGCTCCTCTCGTTAACGTCCCCCGGAGGTCAGGGGTTGTCTAGCTGTCCGCAGTCATTTCTTCCTGGCCGACGGGGTGGCTCCACTCCTAGACAAAGGGAAACACCCGCTGCCCATTCCCATCATTAGTCCCCCACCAATTAGCGCCATCACTTCGATGGAACTTTGATCTGCTGTGAAGAGCTTCAGGGATTCCCCTCTGTCCGCCACAATGTGGAGGCATTTTACTTCGGACTGCAGGGAGCGCCACAAATTGGGCAGCTGTCACCTCTTCTTTGAGGTTAAACGGTAGATGAAAATTGAAGGCAGCCCACGAGACAGTATATAACCCAATTGTGAGGCATTTATGGAGCCATTTATTTCAGGCTGTCTGGGAAGTGATTTTGAGCGGAGAGCAAGGTGATGGAAGAGGTATGGCTCCCTCTAGAGGATAGGACATGTATAACAGGATGATTATTTATTTCCTCAGGGCTGTACCAGATGAGCATCCCAGAGGCGGCCCCCGTGGGGTCAGTGGTGGGGCGTATCTGGGCCAAGGACAGGGACATTGGGCTGAACGCAGAGATGGTGTACAGCATCATCGATGGAGATGGAAGGGACCAGTTTGACATCAGCACCGACCCCACCAACCTTTTTGGCATCATCACAGTGAAAAAGGTACACAGAGGCATGAATAAATCAATGTTGCGCTGTTTTACAAGTCAAAGGTATGATATAGATAATTTCAAATAATCTATATTGACAAATCAAATTTTTCATGTTCCTTTCCGTGTGTTCCCTTTCCAGCCACTGAACTTTGAGGGCAAACCTAGTTACACTCTGAAGGTGGAGGGCGCCAACAACCACCTGGACCCCTCACTGCGCCACCGCGGGCCCTTCAAGGACGTCACCATCGTGCACGTGAGCGTGGAGGACGTGGACGAGCCCCCGCAGTTTGAATCCCCTGAGTACTACGTGGAGCTGTCAGAGGACGCAGAGATCGGCACGTTGGTGAAGACCATTTCAGCTAGAGACCCCGACGCTGCCAACCACACTGTGAGGTGAGGAGGATGAGAACAACACCGACCTGCATGTGTTTCCACAGCGTCACTCGTTGATTTACGACTGTTCTGTTGCTTTCAAGCCAGTGGAGTGAAATGCCAACTATGTGCATGTTGTTTGAGTCAATAATACTAAGAAACTACAAAGAGATTAATCCAGCACAAATCGTGTCAGGTGTGGGAATGCTCTTAAGTTTTAAAGAGGCCCTATTTTGCTTTGTGGGTTCCCCCATACCTGTGTGTTACATAGGTTTGTGTGCATGTAAATGGTCTGCAAAGGCTCAAATCTGAAAGGGGCGGGAAATCTCTAAGCATTTGACCAATCACAACAGAGCTGGCCAGCTAACCAATCAGAGCAGACTGGGCTCTGGTTTCAGACAGAGGGTGAAAACAGGTGCTGCAGCACAGGCAGTATGAGAAGAATAAAGAGCGTTTTGAACATTACAGCATGTCACAGTAGAGGCACTAAATACAAATGTGGAAACGGAAATTAGCATATTACTTTATTTAATCATGTAAATTATATGGTTGTGTCCAGTATTATTTTGAATCAAGAGTCTAACAACAAAATACAAAAAGTCAATAGGGGGTACCAAAACTGTGGATGTTTTCCTCTACTTATCCTAATGCATGATGGAAAAGTCTGTAATGCAAGTTAAAGAAATGGTGTGAGTACAATCTTTTATTAGAATTTAGCCGCAGAGGGTGTTCTTGCAACAAGTGTGTATCAAACTTCTGTGTTCTGATTGTACCTGTGATGTTATATAGTCACCACCAGAGGGCAGCATCTTAACATATCTCATTCCTCATTTATCAACATGTGCTTGCAAGCTCCATATCAACACAGCTGATAGGATAGAGGACACACATTACAATTGTAATAACAAGTTTCAACGTCCAGTAAATGACTCCACACACAGAGGTACGAGAAGCTGATCTCTTCCACTCCTCTCCATTATTATGAGAGTATGTTTGTGGCACACAGAGCAGATGTTGCATTGTGGGTTTACTGTCCAGACTGCATCTCTCGTAGACTAATTAGACATAAAGACTTTAATTAGGCTATTAATCATGTGGAGGAATCAACGACTGCGGCGGTAAACGCGTGTTTCAAAAGCCCCGTCCCGTCCCCCCCGCCCCAGCTGTCCACTTTACAGACTCAAATAGGGTAAAGTAGTGCAATGGGAATGTATAGATGACATGGTGTCAGATACTACATGGATGCAAACAATGCTGGATTTAAAATCTGCTAAATGTTTAAAGAAGGAAATAAATGGGCCTATCCCTATTGTATGCCCCTACAAAGTCAATACATCTTATATATCACTGTATTTCAAAGAAGCAGTAAACACATGTACCATAAAATACAAAGAATAGTGTGAAAACAAATGAAAACACAAGAACTACCCTGAGTGTAATAATAGAAAAGGATGCCGATTAATTAGACAAATGACAGGTGTGCAAAAATGGCTGCAATTATAATTTATAATTGCTCTAAACTCTTTGATGCTCACAGAGCTCTGCTGGTGACAATTAACTGTCAACTCTCTCATTTCTGAAGAGAGAGAAAATCCTAACATTGATGCAGCTAATTCCCCAGAGCTGGCAGTGTACTCTGGGTGAGAATTAGTGGAAATAGATTTGTTTGGAGCATGAGGAGAGTTAGCGGCAGATAGCTGAGGGATCAGATCAGGGTGCCAGTAAAGAGCTGATATACCACAGCAGCAACATGAGATGACAGATAAGAACAACAAGCAGCAAGTGACCTCCAGCCTCTGTATGTCTCATTTCCATTTTATATCTTTCTGTCCTTTATAGCATGACTGGCAGATGTATCTGAACACGAACACACACACACACACACACACACAGAGGAGGAGTAGTGATATTAACAGAGATCCTTCAGGGAGATCCTTGCCAGCCGACTATGTGCCAGTCATGACTTTTCCCTGTCGGCACACAGTCTGAAACACACACTGCAAACAACCCTGCATATATGAACACACACTCGCCTGCCAAAGATACTTGTCTGATATGATAAATGACGATTAATGGTGAATTTTGTCGTTTAAAAAAGGTAGTTTAGTTTACTGAAATCCTGTATAAAAAGGTCCCTTAAATCCATAAGGTGAATCTTGGTGATTTAATTTTGTTTAAGAGCATTCCCATTTACCAAGAAAACCAAAAACATGATAATGTTTTGATCAAAAGACAGAATTAGAACGATTACACCATGAAACAAGCACCATGATATTGTACTGGAGTAAAATGACAGTTATTCTAATGAAACTTCAACACAAGGAAAATTACTTGTGTAAAAATGACAATGAAATTCTGAAGTAAGTCCATTAAAAGGTACTGTGTTACACAACCATGCCCCTCAGTGTAGCTCACCACAATTGACCAGAAACTCAGACAACTAAATACAAACAAGTACAACCCACAATAAACAACAACAGGACACCACGGCGGGTGCAACAAGCAAAAGTTGAATTAAGCAATGCAAAGAACACATCAAAGTAGAAACAATATGAACCCAGCAGCAGACATTAGAGAGCAGCACATCATGTAGCACACAGACACACAATGCTCACACAACCATCACAGTGAGTGTGTAGTTTTCCCTACCAGTCTGAATGTCTCTCTGGGAAGTCCTCCTCCATCTGATCCAGGGTCAGCCTGACACAGCTCACTGAAGATAGCATTCACCATTCACTTGAGCATTTAGCAGGTTAGCAGCAGCTGTAGGCATCATCACATGGGAGTTTGACAAACCGGAAGTGTGTGGGAAAGGGAGGGTTTTTTTAAAGGACTGATGAGGGGAACAGGTGTGCAGGTGGGAGGGGCCGTCAGGTGACTAGCCGGAGTGAGGGCATCTAGTGGGTGATTTAAGGATAGCAGGTGTGGGGACTGGGGGTGAGAAGTGAGCAGAGATCCAGGCCAGGAAACACAACCTACATCCTAGAAAGTGCTCGTGATTTGCTGAGTCATTAATTGTAATAACAATGGGTTCTTTAACAAGTACATTTGTCATAAACATATGACTTTTTAGAATAGAAATAGTGCAATATGCCCTTTGCATTGAGCATCAAAAGTATTTCTTCCTCAATTGTCTAAAAATATTCACAATGATGCCAATTTTGTTTTTGTTACTTTGAAAAAAAGTTGCTGATAATTGCTTTCCGTATCAATCAACCCCCCTCACTTTTGTTTTGGTGTGAAGCAGCGACACGTGTATTCAGTCCATGTGTAAACACTTCATCTGCTCCACAGCCTGGAAGAATATGTGTTCTCCTGTGTGTGTGTGTGTGTGTGTGTGTGTGTGTGTGTGTGTGTGTGTGTGTGTGTGTGTGTGTGTGTGTGTGTGTGTGTGTGTGTGTGTTGGATGTCGCTGTCAGAAGGAACAGTGTATTGGAAGTGAGCCTACAGTGGCAGGAGATGAGCAGCGGCCGCAGGATTGTGTTCCCTGCCGTCAGTGTGGCAGATACTCTGATTAAGCCTTATCTGGAGCCTATTCTTCTTCATGTGCCTTCAGAAGCTGCCTGCCTGACGTCTTATCTCACAGACACACACACGGTGCACATGCTGGAGTGTGTGTGTGCATACCTCGTCCCCACTAAAATAGGATTACTAGCTTGCAGAAACACCACCAGACTGCTCTTCACATGACACGTGTCATTTTGTGTCATCAGGTATTCCATCGACAAGTCCAGCGACCCCGAGAAGTTCTTCTACGTGGAACTCACTACTGGCTCTCTGATGACTGTGCGCTCGCTGGACCGAGAGGAGATCGGCTGGCACAACATCACCGTCCTCGCCATGGAGATGAGTACGTCTAACACACACACACACACACACACACACACACACACACACACACACACACACAAGCTTCCCCATGCAAAACCCAGAACCGTGTTTGTTAGTGTGTCATTTCAGAGTTTCAAACAGAAGTTAGTTGATAAGAAGGAGATTCATTAGGGCAGGATGAACAGATGGGTTCATATTGTAACCAAGAAACCGTGGTTTTGGATAACAACTCCCGCAGACTGTAGAGAAGAAGATGTCCTGCGGATTTGACACAGCCGGAAGAGTCACCTTCATCCTCCCTTTGCTTTGTTTGTCTCTTTGTTTGTCTCTTTGTTTGTCTCGACACACCTTAGAGGAGATCTTGATTAAATTAATGACTAATTGAATAACTTTTTTGTTAATTAAAGATGTGACAGAGACAAGGAGGGCAAGAGAGGGCACAGGAAGGAAGGGATGTGGCGTATGCATATTTGAACAATAAATGAAGTTATTCTAAAATAATTGAGTTTACTTTACGCTCATCATTTTCACATTCTTGGTGCGAGTTCATTTGGACTCATTTTCAGCTCGGTCAATATTCACACTTTAATCAAACTGCATTGTTCTGCACTTTAACTCAAATAGATTTTCACATTTAATTTCCCTCTAATAAAACATCAGCAGAGTTGGACTTTCACTCGAGCTGGATATTGAATTGCTTATATTTGACCCTCAAACACACACATGTATATACAGTATGAAAACACACATATCCCACTTCGACCTCCAGAGCCAAAGTCACGCCACTGATTGATCGATCATGTGAGGAAACCTGAGAAAGTAGTTACTGCCCACTAATTGCGATTCTCCTGCCTATTACACAGCTGGTTAGGATATGCAAATTGCTGATTGGTAATGGAGAATAATAGAATTGTAATCTAAGCGAGAGAGGCCTAATGCGCCACGGGCTCACTGTAAATGAGTTGGAAATTAAGGGAGACGCGCACCGAGCTCAGCAGGATCCTTAAAAGAGTCGTTTATCTGATTTCATCAAGGCATCTTCCAGCGTCTGACCAGTGTGTGTGTGTGTGTGTGTGTGTGTGTGTGTGTGTGTGTGTGTGTGTGTGTGTGTGTGTGTGTGTGTGTGTGTTCCTGCAGATAACCCCACAAAGATCTCCAGTGTGTCGGTGGCTGTGAGGGTCCTCGATGTCAACGATAATCCTCCTACGCTGACGCACTACTTGGAGGCTTATGTGTGTGAGAACGCTAAAGCGGGACAGGTACAGAACATGAGATATCACAGCGTGAACAATGATACTTCTGATAAGTGCTGGAAAGTGTATTTTCTCCAGATATCAAGTTTGAGGTACATTTTAAACTCCTCAAATACTTTTTACTATTCAATTACTTCATTTCAATTAATGTATATACTGCTGGTTGGCTAAGCCTTAACACATCATAAATGTTGATTATTATAGTATTGATCATCTGAAATCAGTTGAATAACTAGCAACTCAAAGTATGTATTTAATAGATCTGACATTTTTAGAGAATAAGTGAAAAAATACACATGTACTTGGTTACTTTCCACCACTGCATGTATACTAATTTTCAAAAATATGATTCAATGTAATAGATTACACGTCCCAACAGTATTCAAAAGTAATTAAAATTAGCGCAACATTTTACATTTTGCTAATTAGAAAAAATATGTCAGTGTAAAAAGAGGAAGGTGTATTATAAATTGTAATCTAACTGTGTGTCTCTTTGATGAATCCAGCTGGTCCAGACGGTGACGGCGGTGGATCCCGATGAGCCGCTGGGGGGGCAACGCTTCTACTACAGCCTGGCTCCAGAGGCCGCTAACAACCCTAACTTCACCCTCAGAGACAACCAAGGTACACAGACACGTGTTCTGTTGTGCAGCTGCACAGTAGTAGACACCCATTCAGGTTAAAAGGTGGACAGGAAATCCATCTTGTATGATATATAGCGCTGCTTTGTGGTCATCAGTTCTCACAGATTTCTCCTTGTAGAAAGAGCATGCCCTTGCACCACTAGTAACTCTGAAAGCTTGTTCTGGTAGAAAATCATCCTGTTGCTACAATACAGGACATTTCTTTCAAATTTGACTGACGACACGAGAATGGATTCCAATATGGTCTAGGATCGACTCCCTGCTCTGATGTATGAATGTATTTGAATTGATGATTTCCGTAGACAGGATTTAAAAGTATTCTTAGAGAACACAATCCGTCTCTGAATAAGATCAAATCAACTCAAACCTTGAGCTCTCACCACCCCCCCCCCTCCTCTTGACTCTGCTTGGCCACAGTTCTGAACTTTAACCCTGTAATCTCACCCCTTGCCTGACCTCTTTGTCTCTCTCCAGACAACACGGCGTGGATTCTGACGCGGCGGGGGGGCTGGTCTCACCAGGACCAGACCGTCTTCTACCTGCCCATCTTCGTCTCTGACGGGGAGCAGCCGGTGCAGAGCAGCACGAGCACGCTGACCGTCCGCGTGTGCAGCTGCGACCACGACGGAAACGTCCTGTCCTGCACCGCCGAGGCCTACACCCTGCCGGCCAGCCTCAGCAGGGGGGCGCTCATCGCCATCCTCGCCTGCATCTTCGTCCTGCTGGGTGAGTCACACTGACGAAGTGCAGAGAGCAGCCAGTGGAGGTCTGTCCTGTGAAGGTCACACTGGATTCTATTCATTTTAAACGTGAAAACATATGGGAGGTCTGTCATATGAAGACCTTAGCAGATTTACTTTGTTTTTTTTCTTGAATTCTTGAAAAAATAAATGTTAAACCGTGAAAACATGTATAGAAGTGAAGACATACTCAAATAAATTAAATTAATAATTAATATAAAATGCCAGAATAGGCAAATCCAACAAAGTAACACATAAATGCTCAAATAAATCGTACTAATGTAATATAATTGAGTCCTAAGAACCTTGAAATTGTTTCCATAACTCAAAAATAAAAAGATAAAGCTTCCAATGTTTCGATTCAAATCATAAGAAGCAGCACTGATTTTGGAAAACATCTCCCGCGTCGTGTTATGTAGAGCAGGGGACGTCCTGTAGATCCGACACAGCTGGAAGTGTCTCACTTATTATTTAAATCCAAAATTATTTATTACAGAGGGATACAATTTGAAAATATTTAAATATTTAAAAAATGACAAGGAGGATTGTAAAAGTTTACCACCGACCAAATGAGCCAACTACACACTCAAATACAAATAATGAATCATCACTTAATATTTGATATACTTCACTGACAGCGTTAAATCTTTCAGCTTAAAAGGAAATGATAACATCTGAATTATTATGTCTTTAAAACAATGAGCTCACAGTGGCGGTGAGTAAAGATGTTGTCACCGTGCGGCGTGAGTCAGCCAGCTGAGCCCTGCTCACGTCTCCAGGTCTGCAGGGAGAGATAAAGTGGGTCCATATCAGCCTACCCGGGGAGAAGAAAGTGTGATGCTAAAGGGCAGCTGGTGCTAATGAACACAAGACGTTTGGCAGGATGCAAAAAAGGAAGCTATATTTAATCCTGCAGATGATGTCACACTGGGCTTTTGAAGCTCCTCTGCTATTGCCTTTTTTCAAACGGAGATTATTTTCTCTTTAATGTTGTGTTTGAAGACAGGAGTTTATCGAGTCTGCCACAGTTTTTTTTTTATGTGGTTAAAACAAGTGAAACATGTATTGGAAAACAAAGTGCTGCAGGGATTGTAATCAGGCCTACTGCTGCCTTGAGGCTCGCCCTCAGACAGTGCTTTTCATTTTTACACTACACATTTTTTTTAAATGGATTTTGGATTCATGTTTTTTCATGCTGGACATGTAATGAAGCTTTTTTACAAAGTGAAAAAAATACATGAAACTTCATTTGTACAAGCAGTGACTCCATTGTAGTGTGGCATGAGGAATGATGGGAAGAAACTTAACATTTTTATCCCAACTTGAAACCAACAATGGCTTATCAAACTTGTTTTTTATTAAAATGTTTATGATATTTTTATTTAACTCAATGCTTCATCTTAAATTCCTGAAATCAAAGAAAGTATATATTATTGATGCTTTTAAAAAAAAAAAATGTATCAATGATAATGCATTTTGCAATTGTGAACCCACAAGCTCTTCCGTGACATCTGTATGCTAACTCCTTACCTCTTCCTTTCCCCAGTGATGATCCTGCTCATGCTCTCACTGCGCACACACCGTAAGAAGCCCTTCCTGTGTGACGAGGAGGAGAACGTCCACGAGAACATCGTGCGCTACGACGACGAAGGTGGCGGCGAGGAGGACACCGAGGCCTTCGACATCGCCGCCATGTGGAACCCACGAGAGGCGCACCACCACCCGGGCAAGATGAGGCAGGACATGCTGCCGGAGATCGAGAGTCTGTCGCGCTACGTCCCTCAGGCGTGCGTCATGGGCGGGGGGGACAGCAGCGTCCACGGGTACGTGCTGGCCAAGCTCCTGGACGCCGACATGGACGCGTGCGCCCCGCCTTACGACTCCCTGCAGACCTACGCCTACGAGGGCGAGGGTTCGGTGGCAGAGTCGCTCAGCTCGCTCCAGTCGGGGACGTCCAACACGGACCACGAGTACGACTATCTCAACGACTGGGGGCCACGCTTTAAAAAACTTGCCGAGATGTACGGCGTGCTGGAGACGAACACTCCTCAGATGTGGTAGAACGTCAGAACCATTGCCTTTTAACTCCGAGAAAAGCTACACCGACACAACAACATCAGAGAAGTGCCACAAACACGTGCATAATAAAGCCAGGTGTGCTCTCACCTCCACATCCATGACTGTTACTGTAGCACTTGAATTCCTGCCTGGATTCTCCACAGCCTTGAAGGCCTGAGAGCCCGCAGCAGCAGTGTGAGCTGCTTTTAAATCTCCCCCAGAGACTGAGGCTGGATGGCAGCCTTGTGAGGCCCACAGAGGAGCAGCTTCAAAGCACAGCTAACCCCCCCTCCTGACCCCCCCCCCAAAGTCAGAGCCGTCTTTGGTTCAAAGTGAGGAGCGGTTTATGCCAGAGATGAAAACAAGAGAGACCTTACTCACAGCAACACAGGAGTAAAAACTCTGAAAAGCTGAAGTTGGCAGGACAACTGTGAGGGGGGGAAATGAAAAACAAAAGCCTGCAATTGGAGATACGTCTTTATTTGTTTCATCTGCGGCAAGTCTTAATTTATTCCTTTGTTCCATGTGCTGTATTTATATTTTTTGCTAACTTATTTGGGTACTTCAAACCAACACTGTACTTGTACGGCCGCTATGTGAAGAAGTCTTCAAAAGATCACGTATATGTTGTAACATATATTTTCATTCTGTGTGATGACACGTTTCTCGAAATGTCACATGACATGCGCAGGAAATGGAGATGCTGTAATCCCATTTGGGTTGATATGTTTATCGTATTATTGTTTTTGTATTGTAACTCTGGTCTTTCCCTAAACATAAAGCAGTAATACATTCATGAGGATGTTAAGGAAGCCATTTTTGGATCTGGATTTTTCCCAGCAGGCTTGGAAAGCAAACGAGGCTTTCACTTTCATTTCTGGTACCGACAACAAGGCTTGATGTGTCCTGTGTTGCTTTTCTGCCACCACACAAAAGTGGCTTAATCCTCCAATTCTGTGGACTTCAAAGACATTTATAATCTGCATTAAGTGCCAAATGTACAAAAAGGACAAAAAAGACGTTTTGGATGAAACATAAAAGAAATCACACACACCACCAAAAGATAAGAAAATGGATTTTGCAAACTGGAAATGAAGTAGAGGAACATTTTGATAATTTGATTGGGTGACGTTTACTTGAAATCATTGTGGTCAGTCATGCTGCAGTAAGTGGTATGTGAATGTAGGTATTTTTTTGTATTCTTGGTAATAAAAATGAAAAATAACAATGCTTCTGTGCAGTCCTTAAACCACCATGAGATGAGAAAACTCTTATAATTACACACAACACCGAGGCAATGAAGGAAATGATGCTTTCTGAACATCTGGGTGGCACATTTTAATAAACTGCTGCTTTTGCTGGTGAGGAACATTATACAACCCCCTGAAGCATGGCAGAAATGTAAGTCCTTCAAAAGATAAAGCAGCTATTTAAGTTTGCAATTATACGCCGAATTGTGCTCCAAAGTGTTATTGCCGTTGATTCACTTTTCATTACAGTTTTCCCTCAAAGTGCTTAATTTGCTTGACTTATTCTGTTTTGCAGTAATATAGTTCAGTATTGACTAAAAGCTTCCCCCCCCCACACACACACACACCGCCTGCTGTACCTCTAGCAACTTGCAGAGGGGAACAATTACCATTGGAAATCAATCAATCATAAACGGGAGACTCTACTTAATTGCTTATGTCAATCAAAGTTTTACCAGTGAAGGACAGGAATGGAAAATTGAAAGGAAGGTATAAGATTAAAGGAAAACATAAAGCCAATACCACGATTGATAGTCTACCTTTACAATATTTTTGCACTTCTGTCAATTTCCGTATTTTTCAGAACAAATGACAAAGAAATAAGTCTGCAATCCATGGCTCTGGCTTACCTGCTGGTCGGCAATCAACAGTGAAATTGCACAGGAGATGAGGCTGTAATATTCGCCGGATTTACAATTTTGCACTTTCATACGCTCTGCATGATGAGCAGAACACTTCAGTAACAGACCAGGGATTCAACAGCCCGCGTATATTTGACAAATCTTTGTTTCTCCCGGTGGCGTCAGATCAAAGTTTTCCTCATCAGCAGTCGGGCCAAATGGAGGACCAAATTGACCGAGGGTTTATTTGAAACAACATTTGAAAAATAAAAATAGAAAATAGCAAAAAGCTCCTTAAATTATACTGCAATTTAGGGCAATATAAATACGTGCATTTTCTGAAACATTTAATTATTTGTTCAACTTTTTTCTTATACTGATTTATTATTTAGAATAGTATATGAACAGTTTGGACAGGGGTCCTCTCTGCAGGAGCCTTGAGATCAGAGTTGGTTTGTCAAGGAGAGTCAGGCTCACTGTATGATTAATGTATGAGGTAGTGGGAGTCATCCGCTCCCCCTCCCTCAGAATTTCTGCTTTTGTTAAATGTCTCTTTTGGTAAAGGAACAACTACTGTGTCGCCTCCCCACCTTTGGCGACCTTGACTCAGATTGTAACTCAAAAATTTGCCAGGAAATATATTTCTTCTATCCCAATGTATACGGTTGTTGACATTCGGGGATTGGCTAACTGTCACTGGAAACCTAAAATGTAACTTCTATCAGCTTATTTGAACAATGTGATCACATGATTCCTTCCAATATTATTGTAGATTTGCTGTAAGCTAGCTAGCTCACGTAGCTAATAGCCTAGTCATTTCAAATATACTGACAAAACACTTACAATTATGAAACAGACTAACTCTGCCAACAGGGATTTTTGGCCAACTTTATAATCCCCGAACGTCAACAAGCACCCTACGCATGTTTTGTGAAGTTGGTGAATTTGTTTCTTCATTTGCATGTGTTTTGGGTCATAATATTTGCATAGTTTCTGAAGCCGCAGCTCATTTCTCCTAATGGAGGTGTTTGGGGCCGTTGTAGGGCGATTGCCCGTGTCGCCCATCGTACCAATAGCTTCACAATAACATACGATCAAGAAAAAAATCTACAAATTGAAAGGCAAAGTTGTAAATCTAGTTCTCTAACTCTGCAGTCAGAAGGCTCTGCTCGCTGTGACCTTATTCCCTTCACTCCTCACCATAAATCTCTTGTCACCAGCATTTGTCAGAGCCCGTGTCCTGCGGCCTCTTTCCTCCTCAGTGCCCTTCCCCACACTTTGCCCCATCCGGCTGCATACATTAAACCCTAACAACCCCTCACGGACGCCCTCTCCTTCCCATTCGCCCAGTCGTCAGCCTCTGCAGGGCCATTTCCAGGCCAGAGCGGTGCCTTTTCCGAAAGGCACTGGGGGGGTAATTTGTTTTAAGCTCCACAGCTCTTTCTAACAGAGGAAGGAGCTCAAACGGTGGAAGATAATAAGAAGCCTTCCAGCTCTAATCCTGCTTAGGGTAAACCGCAGCAGACCCAGTGAATCATCCCTTAATGCGAAGTGGAAAAACACACTCTGCTCTGCTGGAAATTGAGAAGCGGAAAGAAAAAGGCAAACCTCAGGCCCGGGGAGGGAAGAGCAGGTCCAACCCATTTGACATGTGGAGTTAGAGAGCGAAACATAGACACACAAATGGCTGCTGGGCTTTCTCTCTCTGATCCTCTTCTCTATTTCATCCTCCTTCTGTGTGTCTCCTTCAGTCCAACACTTGCTTCTTTCTCTCAAACAGAACGCCCTTCATGTCTTTCTCTCTCTCCTCTCCATCTTTGTCTTGACCCCTCCTCGTCCTCCTCTCAGCCCGGCTCACGAGTGCAGCGATGGGTTAATTCAGCGTTATCTCTTTAAGCTGCAGAAGAACACCAGCTTTGGCCGTCAGGGTCTTTGCTGCGAGAACAGAGGATCTCCTGAGCGGCGAATCATCAGCGTCTCAAAGAGGTTTACAGGAACTTCACACCCAGCTGCAGATGCTAATGCATAGCTTTACTTTGCAATAATCTTCTAATTTCTTTTGTTTTTCTTCTTCTTGCTTTTGGAAAGGCTGCTAGGCGGCCATTACTGAAGGGTTAGTCTAAGTAGGGTTCGTTACAACTGGTTTCTTTCCGAACCGAATATTTAAAATCCAGCCATTACACATAGGCTACTTTAAACAAATATTTATGTTTTAAACAGCCTTTAATATAAGGAGCATTTTCATCTAACTTTTGTGGATTTTAGCATTTTTGAAGACATAGAATAAAATAGAAAAATCCTAAAGGTTTTAAAGCTTAGCATGGATGAATCTATTAGAAGCCTTATCAGCCAAACCCCTAAGAGGGATAAATAGATATGGAAAAAAACGGAAACTCAGATAATGAATACACACACACACATCTGTAGATATTTCAAATATACGCAAGATGCTGCCGTTGTAAACTCAACCTGTATCTGCCATTGTTGGTTAATGATAGAAAAATGTAATTCCTGTCATATGACGTCTTATTTCATGGAGCCACATCAAAAAGAGCCAAAATCAAGCAAAGCAGCAACACAGCATCCCACCCACTTCCTGAGTAACAACACAAGACATAGGAGACACTGTACTATGCCGGTAAAGATGACGATAACATGACAGAGGAACACTAGAACATGTTGTGCTTTATATGTGACACCAATATAGAATTATTCAAGACATTCTTTTATCCTTCTGCACTTCACAGAGAGATTGGTCCCAGCCCTGCCTGCTTTGCACGTGTTCTTATTAATGGCAGTGACAGACACCTCCGTCTTTGAGCCTACATATGTGAATTGAAATGAAGCAGTAGGGGGGATGAGGTGGGAAGACATTATGTACGTGCTAACTAAAGTTCTGAACAGAGAAGGCTTGATTTAAATGATAAACCCCCACACTGGCCCTCCACTTATCCTCCTTGCAATGACCAATGTGTTTGTTTTTCGTCCCCAGGAGAAGAACTCTAATGCCTGTTTGTGCTTTGACAAAAGTGATAACACAAAATGGATCTGACAAATTGGGCCTGGCACACAATTAGGATCCCAGGCTCTGACCGTGGATGCCACTTCCTCCAAATCGGAAAACAGCGAGGGGACTGGCTGGGATGTGATGGAGGAGCAGAGGGAGAGCGTGTTGGGAGGAAGTGTTTGTCAAATTAGAGCTGGATGGGCATATGGCCACAGCACTCTTGGTTCTCTCTGTGATAGTTTTCTTATTGGGCAGACAGATAATCCCAGCAGGACTGTTTGTTTACCAGCCTCCGTTATTTTTGTCCGATTGCTAAAATGGAGGATGGCTGTGACTACTGTACATCCTGTTGTATTGCCTTAACTACTTTTTATTTGTTAACTATTTTGTATTTTTTAGCATATTTAAAAATTCCATTGAGACGAAGGACGTACAATGACCGGAGTGATCCCATGTTAATTTTGTCCCAAAACCGGAGCATTCCCTCACCAAAAAAAGAATGTGTTTACTTAACGCCTTATTGAATGTCCCTTTTTTAAATATGCTAAAAAATACAAAATAGTTAACAAATAAAAAGTAGTTAAGGCAATACAACAGGATGTACAGTAGTCACAGCCATCCTCCATTTTAGCNGGAGGAGATCCACTAACGGTCTGCCATTGTGACCTGTTTTTTCTTTTATTTGGGAGACTGAAATGAAAAAGGATACAGAAACAAACATTCACTTTGCTCTCCCGTCCTTTTACTGCCCTTCCATTTCCTTTGAACGAACACTTTGGGATTTACTCCAGAAATGTTTTTTGGCCAGCTGATTTGTTTTTTGGCGCGGGGCCGATGTGGCACTCAGACTCCAGCCGTTGGATTGCCTGTTTATTCTGTGGTTTGTAGAAGTGCATCAGTTATCATAGTGTTGTTTCGCTGAGTGTCGGTTCCAGGCGGCGTCTCTCCAGCTGGTGCTGCAGTACAAAGAGTTCGGACTTGGCTGCTCTCCGTTTTTCTGATGCTGCAGGAATTAACTGTGCAGTCTGGGAAACTCAAAATCAAAACACTTTCCCCCCCCCCTTTCATACAATCTGTTCCTGTTCAGAACCAACTGTTGCTGTTATGCAGTTTGAGAAAGGATTGTCAAAAAAAGGACTAACCAAGGATTGCATTGTTCATTCATGCTGTCATGTTACAGGGAAGTTTCTCTATTAAGTCTTAAGAGGTTTCTGAAACAGTTGATGATTTAATGTTGAGCAAAAAAAGTCAAATTTTTGTTGATTTTCTTTATTTCCTGTTGATATTTTTGTAAATCTTATCTCATTGGGATTTGGACTGCT